TAGTTAGTTATTCAGTAACAGTATTTATTTATTTACTTATTTAGCACATCAAATTCATATTCGACTTATGATATTTTCAGCTTAAGATGGGTTCGTCAGAACATAACCCCATCGTAGTAGTAATATTTTGAGATTAAATAGAGGCATGCTAGTCACCTGCTGACTCTGTTTTTGGTGGCTAAAGCGTTGTGTTACTTTCTCTTCCATTAAACATGACATTGATGGCTCTTTATTATTATAATCAAAACTAAGTGGTAAACCACCAGGGTCATACAACATTGGCTCCTGATGCATTTATCATACAAAATGAAAGCTATACAGGCAATTTAGATATGTATTGAAGAGCTAGATATAGAAATCTCAACATTGCTGGGAGCCAAAGCTAGAGTCTGCAATTACAGTGGACCCCCGCTTAACGATCACCTCCAAATGCGACCAATTATGTAAGTGTATTTATGTAAGTGCGTTTGTACGTGTATGTTTGGGGGTCTGAAATGGACTAATCTACTTCACAATATTCCTTATGGGAAAAAATTCGGTCAGTGCTGGCACCTGAACATACTACTGGAATGAAAAAAGTTCGTTAACCGGGGGTCTACTGTATCTCTACTCTCCCAGACACAGCTTCCCACAACATTTTAGGTAGTTATCTTTTCTTGGTTATCACTCCACATGCATTCATCTTCAGTATATGTTTGTTTGGTATCACTGTGGTGAGATCCTATATCTTTAGTACAATTTATTAAGGAAATGCAACTTTCATTTTTATGTCACAGAATAGTTGAGAAGCTCAGCTGATGGTGACTCACATTTCTGTATTATCCTTCTTCTTACCTTCACCTTTATCAAAGGTATTTGTCTTTGGTATAAAAGGGCCCCGCTTATACAGCAGGTTAGGTTCTGGGCTACTATAGGGCCCCGCTTATACAGCAGGTTAGGTTCTGGGCTACTATAGGGCCCCGCTTATACAGCAGGTTAGGTTCTGGGCTACTATAGGGCCCCGCTTATACAGCAGGTTAGGTTCTGGGCTACTATAGGGCCCTGCTTATACAGCAGGTTAGGTTCTGGGCTACTATAGGGCCCCGCTTATACAGCAGGTTAGGTTCTGGGCTACTATAGGGCCCCGCTTATACAGCAGGTTAGGGTCTGGGCTACTATAGGGCCCCGCTTATACAGCAGGTTAAGTTGCGGGCTACTAAAGAGCCCTGCTTATACAGCAGGTTATGTTCTGGGCTACTGTAGGGCCCCACTTACATAGCAGGTTAAGTTCCAGGCTACTGTAAGGCCCTGCTTATGTATCAGATTAGATTCTGGGCTACTGAGGGCCCTCCTTATACAGCAGGTTAGGTTCCAGGCTACTGTAGGGCCCAGCTTATACAGCAGGTGAGGTTCTGGGCTACTACTGTAAAGTGAAACACAGCATTTTTTCAATTTCAATTGCATATAAAAGTCTGATAATACGTTTATGCTATCATATATTAAGTGAGCAACAGATTAGCTAATTTAGAGATGTATGGAATGTAACCCTACTTTTCCCATATGTTCTTCAATTAGAGATGTACGGAATGTAACCCTATTTTTCCCATATGTTCTTCAATTTAGAGATGTACGGAATGTAACCCTACTTTCTTGTACGTTCTTCAATTCTGACAAAGATATTTTCATAAGGTAACAGTTATCAAAAACATAACCCCCTGAGTTATAAGAGGTTTTACTATATATTCATATTTAAGCACTAAACCCACAAGTCATACAGCATCGGAGTAACAGGGAAAGATAGAAGAGCAGGAGGGCAGCCCTAATTCTTTTAAGAGCCATTCACTATCGTCGAGGTACCTGTATGAAGCTAATCTATGAGTCCTGAGTCTTGCCTTGGTGGGAGACAATCCATGTGTTTTAAAAAATAGAACTAAATTTTGACCAAAAATATGGTATAATGAAATTTAATGTTGATAAGTGAATGCAAACCATGGTATGGGTGGGATTAGAACCCATGGCAAGTGGGAGATAAAAGTCCAGGCCAGTGTATAAGTCACTGGTCCAGCGACTTAAGCATTGATCTAGATTTTTACAACTCACCTGCCATGGGTTCTAACCCCACCAGTAAAGTCATATACAAACAAGTGAATTCTCAAAGCAGTCAGTTCTGATCCAAGAAAGTGAAACACAGATAAAGATCCACAGGGGTCATACACCACCTGGGGAATGAGAGGTAATCAGGTTTGATCCAAGGAAAGGGAGAGTAGCTCTAACTCCTCAGATCGAGAGACCTTACCCAGCACCAAAACAATACTTTTGAAGGGTCGAGGTGCAGTAAGTGGGATAACAACTTATACAACATACAATGCATACAATAATATACAACATACAATGCATGCAGCAACAATTTACAACACAACAACAATATACAGTAAGTTACAACATGTACGTATAGTAGTGCTAATGTATTTATTAATGATTTTGATTTTAGGATTTATAAAAATGTATAATACAGCCTCTCCTTACTTAGCGACATACTCGTTTACCGACGACTTGGACTTACTATGAGCTCTCTGACCAGTATGCATACCTAAATGATGTATATTAAAGCTGATTTCCTTTATTCTGTTTATTACAATATATAGTACCCTACTGTATAAACATTTAAAAATATGCTAAAAATGTTATAAATGGTGCAAGGGTGACATTAAATCAATATTAAAGATGGCTGACATTAACCCATTTCCATTATAGTATGCTCTTTGTTTAGCGACGAATTCATTTATCAACGTGGTATTAGGAATGGAACTCCATTGTTATGTGAGGAGAGGCTGTATACAGCCTAGCCTGGGTGTCATTCATAATGATAAGCTATACATAGCCTGGGATTCATAATGACAGGTTACATATAGCAATGACGTACTATTACATACATCATTTACAATTTATTTATTTTATTTATTTTGAAATTTAAGCATACATACAGAGGTACAAAAAAAAAATACAGGTAAGAGCAGCATGCCAAAGCCACTTATATGCATAGCATTACGGGCTGGCTTAAAATTAACTTAAGATTAACTAAGCAATGATGAAATCAGTGATAAGACATTATTGTAAACAGATTACTATAAAGCACAAGTGAGTATTACAAAGACAGCTCATATGGTTGCATGCATTGTTGTTCATTCAGTAGAATGGAGTATTCTGTTAGGTAGTGTATTTAAAAAAATAACAAAGTTAGATTGGGTCCTAGGTTTAACATTTATGTGATATAATTGTGAGTAACATTTTGGATATACAATTTATAAGGTTCAGTTATTCAGTATTTATTTGGTTTTGAGTAAGTGAACTTTGAGAAGAGACTTGAATTTGTAAACAGGTAGTGTTTCTTTTATATTTACAGGTAATGAATTCCAGATTTTAGGGCCTTTTATGTGCATTGAGTTTTTGCATAGCGTGAGATGGACACGAGGAACATCAAAGAGTGATCTGTGCCTTGTGTTATGGTCATGTGTTCTGTTGAGGTTGGCAAGGAGATGTTTGAGGGGAGGGTTAATATCAGAGTTAAGTGTTCTATGTATGTAATAAGTGCAATAATAAGTATGGATGTTTTGTATGGTGAGTAGGTTGAGTGTTTTGAATATTGGTGGAGTGTGTTGCCTGTAGTGAGAATTTGTTATCATTCTAACTGCAGCCTTTTGTTGGGTAATTAGTGGTCTGAGATGGTTAATTGTTGTTGAGCCCCATGCACAAATTCCATAGGTGAGATAGGGGTAAATAAGAGAGTGATAAAGGGCCAGGAGGGCTGACTGTGGAACATAGTACCGTATCTTCGATAGTATGCCTACAGTCTTGGAAATTTTCTTAAGAAATTTGTTGTACATGTGTATGAAATTTGAGTCTATTATCGAGGTGGATTCCTAAGAATTTTCCCTCTGTTAGCTTTGTGATAGGTGATCCGTTTATCGTTATGTTAAGAGGTACATCTGTAGCTCTGTTACCAAACTGAATGAAGTAGGTTTTGTCATGTTTAGTGTAAGTTTGTTAGTCCTCATCCAGGTAGATATTTTCTGTAATTCGGTGTTTACAGTATTGGCTAGCGTGACTGGGCTCGGGTGAGAGAAAACGTATGTAGTGTCATCTGCAAAAAGTGTGGGTTTGAATAATTGCGAAGCATTTGGTAGGTCATTTATGTATAGGAGAAAGAGAAGAGGGCCAAGGACACTTCCCTGTGGGACACCAACTGTAATTGGTTGTGCGGAAGAGCTTGCCCCATTTGCGTACACATATTGGCTTCTGTTGCTGAGGTAAGACTTGAGGTAGTTGAGGGAGTGCCCTCTAATACCATAGTGTGACAATTTTACGTGGAGTAAGTCATGGTCAACTGTATCAAAAGCTTTACGTAAGTCAATGAAGATCCCCAGTGGGACTTCTTTTTTCTCTATTGCATTGTATATATGTTCTAGCATGTGTATAATAGCATCATTAGTATTTTTATTAGGCCTGAATCCAAATTGGCAGGGGTTGAGAATGTTTTGGGAGATGAGGTAGGAGTAGATTCGTTTATGAATTAATTTTTCGAAGATTTTTGAGAGAGGGTGTAAATTGGATATTGGCCTATAGTTATTCAACTCTGTTTGGTCTCCTCCTTTATGGGAATTAACACACAGCAATGAGTAGCTTATGACTGTATACATAGCAATGTGTAGCCTACTATGGTATACATAGCAATGTGTAGCCTACTATGGTATACATAGCAATGTGTAGCCTAGGCTTTAATTCACATTCATAAATTTAATAAAAAATCTAAATGTTACACCAGAAACTACTTATATATTCATGTTTACATCTAAAAACCAACCAAATGGAAAAACTATGGCTGTCAAAATAATCAACTGATAACTACCATATAACTGCTCTACCCACAACACACAAGGGATGGATTGGTTTTGTGTTTGTAGAGAATAAAGAAGAGTGCAATATATGGCAGGATGATTGTTTGGCAAGAAAAAAAAAGCAGGTTGCTGTTAATATTAAGCAGAAAGAATAAGTTTATTTAGGTACAGGTACACATAAATACAGTTACACAAATTATCATACATAGTAATGTGTGTAAATTACCTACCAGGATAACCCCCCCAAAAAGTCATTGATTTATTTCTGCCAAGGACATATCAATGTGTGTCTGCAGAGATTAGTTTCAAGTATATTAATATTGATGCATCAACTGTGCATTATTGCTGCCTAGAGAGAACAATTGCACAAATTATTCTGACACTGCATCAGAGAACACTGTAATGCAAAGAAAATATCAATTTAAATCTGTAGGATGTTTGGCATGAGAGATAGACAGAGATGCTCAGAGGTGACTCTCTAGTACTCAAGAATTTCTTTACTGTTATGCTGTAAGTTTTCAGTCAACAATATGCTTTGGCTATGTTACATGGTTATTCTTAACCCATACTCACACAAAACAAATTAGATGTGAGGAGGGAGGGAGGGAGGAGAGGAAAGGGAGGGAAAGAGGGAGGGAAGGGAGGGAAAGAGGGAGGGAGGGAGGGAAGGGAGGGAAAGAGGGAGGGAGGGAGGGAAGGGAGGGAAAGAGGGAGGGAGGGAATGTGCTCAATAGGTGACATAACAATGGTGACACCATATTTGTTGACACAAATTACAGTGAAAGATCAAGGAGAGAGTTGCCTTGATACTGATGATGGGCTATTGATCCATGAAATTGGTGCTACCCTCTCCTTCCTTTGATTAAATCTAATTGCTTTCCATGTCCCAGGCACTGTATGACCCTTACTTGTTTAGTGCTACCCCATGAATACAAAAAATAAATATCAGTTGGAAAAATACCCAGACATATTTTATAGATAAACAACATTAGTTTGCAAAACCTGAATTTTGACAACGGCTCATATATGCAGTAGTACACTTACATGTTAATGCACCAATCGTAAACAAGCAATACAAGGTGCAAAGCAACCACGGGGGGAGTTGAATGATAGCTCTAGGCCTTTTGTATTGCAGTTAACACATCAGGAGCTTGCAGTATTGCAGAAATGAATAAGAAGTCCCAGCAGATTAGTTCAGAGGAATGTTTTAGAATGTTCACCTGAACTAATCTCCTAGGACTTCTTCCTCATTTCTGGAACACAGCAAGCTCCTGATGTGTTAACTGCAATACGAAAGGCTTAGAACTATCATTCAACTCCCCCTGTGATTGTTTTACATATTAATGTGAGCAAGAGAATCTTAATATACTACTTGGTGGTATAATTTTATACCAGGCAGATAACCTGCCATCACATCTAATAATTTTTTTTTTTTTAACATGTTGGCCGTTTCCTACCAAGGCAGGGTGACCCAAAAAAGAAACACTTTCACCATCCTTCATTCCATCACTGTCTTGCCAGAAGCATGCCAATACTACTGTTCAAAAACTGCAACATATCTCCACCTGTCCTCCATATCTAATGATGTAACATTTAATGTTCTAGAGAGTAGACCACTAGCCCAGCACAAGGCCTCACTCAGAGAACCAAAATCTCCAATAAGTATACCTGGAGAGGGTTTCGGGGCTCAACGCCCCCACAGCCCGGGCTGTGATCAGGCCTCATGGTGGATCAGGGTCTTATCAACCAGGCTGTTACTGTTGGCTGCATGAGTGGGTCATTTCATGAATAACACCCACATCAGAAGACCAGCAAGCTACCAGAAACATTTGATCATATGACCTAAAGCTTCATTAGCTGTTTATTATATGACTAACACCCATGTCATCAAATTTATTTTATTTTATTTTATTTTGACAAAATACAATACTACCATGTGAAAATCTTACTTTTTTTACACTTTGAGCATTTTACATTGAACATTTTGACTCCAAGTTCATGAACTGCTTTAGATACAATCCACGTGGAATATTCGGAGCCCAAATGTATATACATAATTCCTTATTTTATCCATCCTGAATCATGTCAACTTTCAAAGTAAAAAATCACAATACCATGGCAGGCACAATTCATTATATAGGTAGAATTACTAACAATATGTTAATAAAAGGATATATGTTCAACTACAGTAGAATCCCCGTATCCAGGGATTCGGTATCCACGGTTTCAGTTATCCACAGTTTACTGTGACCCAAAAATAACTCTTAATTTTGCATAATAATGGTCCCAGAGCACAAAAGTAGAGAAGTTGGCAGTTGTTCAATGCCTAAGAGAAGCAGCGAAGTGCTTCTCACCAGTGAAAAATGACAATTCTCCACTTACTGCGCATAATTTATCAATTAAACTTTATAATAGGTATGTATAAAATTTACATATAGGGTTTGCTACTATCCACGGTTTCGGTATCCATGGCAGGTTCTTGAAACATATCCCCTGTGGATACAGGGGTCCTACTGTAATAAGACATTTTATTGCGGCAATGTTTTACTCTCCAGGAGCTTTGTCACTCTGAAATGTCTTGACAAAGCTCCTGAAGAGTGAAACATTGCAAAAATAAATTGTCACATTAGTTGCACTTGTGTCCTTTTACCTAACAATTCATAATTAACCCAAAATACAATCAGGAGACTTTAGACAATGTTTTGCTCCAGGAACAAAAAACAAACACCAGCAGGAAAATACAGTGGAACCTCAGTACTCGAACAACTCCCTACTCGGACAAAGCTCAGCACTTGACCAAACAAACATAATCTGCCAGAACTTCGCTGTAAACTATTTCGTGTTTCTTCACATTTTTGGGTGTTTTTTATATTATTTGTATAATATAATATTATTATTATTATAATAAAAAAGAAGCGCTAAGCCACAAGGGCTAGTATAATATAATAATAAGTCACATGGGGCCTATGAAGATTAGTGATAACAGCCAACCAAAAAGAAAATTGGTTGAGAAGAATTTGTTCGAATCTCAAATGGATTGGCACTTGAACAGCCTTCTGGAATGAATTAAGTTCGAGGACTGAGGTTCCACTGTACCAGGTTATAGTTCAACAACATTGGTTGGTCCAGGACTAATTAAAACATCGCCTGACGTTTCCTCTCCAAAGAGCGGGGTTACGTGAGCATAATTTTTTCTATGACATCGGAAGGATTGCTTTATTGAAGCTTATTTATTGTCATTCGGTAGACAGACAAAAACAAATTATTACCAAAACTGACACTGGGGTTTTAACATTAAAATGGCTGCCAAGATGTTACACCGACTTAAATGGCAATCAAGGGAGTTACACTGCTCAACATGGCCACCAAGGAATTATATTGGCCAATAGATTAAACTGCCTAAAATGGCCACCACGAAGTTACACTGCTCAAAATGGCCACACAGGAATTTACAGCGCCCAAAATGGCCACCAGGAAGTTACATTGCTCTAGCCTCCAGGGAGGCAACACTGCTCAATATGACCACAAGAGGGCTACACTGCCCAAAACAGCCACTAGAGGATTCAGACTGCCCAAAATAGCCACTAGGGGATTCAAACTACCCAAAATGGCTACCAGAGGGCTACACTGCCCAAAATGGCCACTAAGGTATTCAAACTGCCAAAAATAGCCACTAGGGGATTCAAAGTGCCCAAAAAAACAACTAAGGAGTTACACTGGTGTACACAAGATGATCACTAAGCAATGATCTACACTTTTTGTGCAAGCATACATAAATTATTTACCAAATTATGATGGTATACATTACTAATAACTTGACGAATAAGACACTTGTTCAACACTTAGGCATCTTTCTTGGGGAAGTGTTTCACCTACACAATAAGCCTTTTTTAGTTGAAAAGAGACATACAGGTAGTCCTTAACTAATGAAGGGGGTTACGTTCCGACAAACCCATCGTAAGTCAAAAATATTTCAAGCTGAATATGAATCGTCTTCTTTCAACAAACCAGCTGTATCCCACCAAGGCAGGGTGACCCAAAAAGAAAACAAAAGTTGCTCTTTTGAACTTTAGTAATGTATACAGGAGAAGGAGTTACTAGCCCCTTGCTCTTGGTTGAACATGAATATGATATGCTAAATAAATAACTATTCTCCATGCAAGAGTGAAAAAGATGCCTTCAAATACAAATTTTATTTCTTTGCAAAGGTTACAATGTGTGACTTACTTTTTAAAAAGTGTTGTTAAGTACTAAGAAAGCCACTAACATGCCAGGGCATTTCAGGCAAACATGCGTGCCATAAGAGGCAACTAAAATGTCAGGCGCAAGGTGCTAGTAACCCCTTCTCCAGTATAATTTACTAAATTTAAAAAAGAAAACCTTTCGTTCTCTTTAAATCACCCTGCCTCGGTGGGATGCAGCTGGCGTGTTGAAAGAAATAAATAACTACTGCCATTGAATAACTAAATAAATAATTACTGTAACTAACTAAATACGTACCAGTATTGATGAGTAAATAACTGAATACAAGTTACGGACTTGCCACCTTCATGCCGGGTAATTACCCTAAGTTTCATCTCCAAATTGCTTTTGCACCATTGTAAAGTCGAAATATCTTAAGTTGAACCATTGTAAGTCAAGGAGCCCCTATATACCAGCAGGGAGAGTAAAAGTAATAGCTTTGATGTGATCAGTCCATTGCCTTTGATAGGAGGGACTGATCACCTATTAACACGGATGGACTGATAACATCAGCGTTACTGCTCACTATAGATAAATGGTATGAATACCGACACAATGGAGAAACAGACACAAATATGGTATAATGCAGTTTTTTCTTCTTCTTTCAACACACTGGCTGTATCCCACTGAGGCGGGGTGGCCCAAAAGGAAAAACGAAAGTTTCTCCTTTTACATTTAGTAATATATACAGGAGAAGGGGTTACTAGTCCCTTGCTCCCGGCATTTTAGTCGCCTCTTACAACACGCATGGCTTACAGAGGAAGAATTCTGTTCCACTTCCCTATGGAGGTAAGAGGAAATAAACAAGAACAAGAACTAGAAAGAAAATAGAAGAAAACCCAAAGGGGTGTGTATATATATGCTTGTACATGTATGTTAGTGTGACCTAAGTGTAAGTAGAAGTAGCAAGACGTACCTGATCTTGCATGTGTTTGAGACAGAAAAAAAAAGAAACCAGCAATCCTACCATCGTGTAAAACAATTACAGGCTTCAGTTTTACACTCACCTGGCAGGACAGTAGTACCTCCCTGGGCGGTTGCTGTCTACCAACCTACTACCTAGTTTTTTATTGACTACATTTTGCACACACAGCAGGCTTCATCAAGTCACAAATATGTGGTCAAGTCCACTGTGTGGGCAAACACAGTCAATAAAGGATCGCATTATACCACATTTGTGTCTATTTTCTCTACTCCTACTCAGGTAGACAATGACAAAAGCCAACAAGTAAGAATGAAGACACTGGTGACAGAGGATCTTCTAAATACAATGATTCACCCTAGGGTGACCTTTATCAAGGTGTGTGATAAAGTCCAGTCTTGGGTGAAACTTATTAAAAGCATCCTCTGCTATCAGTGTCTTTAATCCCAAAACTATTACTAAGTAACAAAAAGGCATAATACTGTGACTGGAATGATATATAAATATCCCGAACACAGGAGAGAGAAGATTATGATGACGTTTCAGTCCGACTTGGACCAATTACAAGTAACACTAACTTGTAATTGGTCCAATAACCTTCTCTCTCCTATATGCGGATTATCTGTGTACTACTATTACTACTACTGTTGCCAACGTTACATTCACCAGTATCCGACTGAAAAAGCCTGTTGTGCAGGCAACATATTTCACTAATAATGATGCTCAGGTCCTGCACACGTGTCTTATTCATTGTAAATTTTCTACATTTGAAAATTATGCAAGGAACATTCTTAAGATATCACCCATAAATAAAGTGGCAGAAAGAAAATGGAACACCCTAAGATATTTAATATTAATGTTGAGAATGATAAGAATGCATTAAAAGACATAATACTTTTTTGAAAATAGCTGTTAAAAGTATATAATATACACAAAATATATACAGTGCATTAAAGCAGAAAAGTACTTTTTTGAAAGACTATAAAATATATAAAACTTAAGAAAATATTAAAAGTTATATTGTATTAGAGTTGTTAAAATTATGTAATTCACAAAATTAATACATCAGAAAAATACAAATGCAGTAAACCCTCTCATAACACCGGGATAATAAACCCTCTTATAACATCAGGATATGGTCCTGAAAATCAGTGCCTTGTGGAAATTAACATTAAGTGAAGTGAAGAATATATGAGAAAATAAGTTCATGTTCCACACACATCCAAATTTACCAAGCAACCTATTTTTTTTAATTTATTAGGTACAAATTAATACAGTTTATCTCACCTTACATTCTAGTTGCTGCTTGTTGACATGGAAGTGTATGGAGAGAGGGTTGATGTGGCCATACTGGGCTGTGGTGGATGGCTGTGATTCCTGTGCTGACCTGCATGCTAAGTTATCAGTAGCTGATGGTTGTATTGGGGTTTTCAAGTACAGGAGGGCTTCACTTTAGTGCTTCACTATGTAGCAGTTTGCTAATGCAGCGTTTTTTCAATTAGAGCCATTCTTCATTTATTCAGACTTCCTACAATAAATATATTCACCACTCACTATAAGTTAAAAGCAAAAATATTTTAAGGTAAGTAATATGCATACTGTATATGCATTTTTTTAGCCCAAGCTCTATGGTTCACTTAATACATGATAGTGTAAACACGTTGTCAGTCTTTAATATGCATTTACAAGTGAAATAAAGAAGGTTATGTTTCACTTTACAGCAGTAGCCCGTAACCTAATCTGCTGCATAAGTGGGACCTTACAGCGCCCCGAACCCAACCTGCTATATAAGCAGGGCCCTCCTATACAGGCATACTACGTTAATACAGCACTTTTTAATTACGTATTTGTTTTTTTAACAAGTCGGCCATCTCCCACCGAGGCAGGGTGACCCAAAAAAGAAAGAAAATCCCCAAAAAGAAAATACTTTCATCATCATTCAACACTTTCACCTCACTCACACAATCATTGTTTTTGCAGAGGTGCTCAGAACACAACAGCTTAGAAACATATGCATATATATATATTAATTGTATTGTTGTTTATTATTTTCAGTGCTTGTCTTGCTCTTAAGGTGGTTTTTGGCAGTTTTCATATCTTTTACATTAGTTTTGCTTTTGCATCTTCTTTTAGGCCTAGTGCATTGTTCACTTAATAAATGATAGTGCCAACATATTTTTAGGCTTTTATATGCACTGGCAAGTAAAAAAAAAAAGGCTGTGACTTGCTTTATGGTGATATTTGCTTTATGGTGGCAGTCTGGAACCCAATCCACTATATAAGTGAAATATGCCAGTACTCTATAAGGTATTTCTGATCTGTGTTACTTTGCACTACTGACCTCCATGACACATTCACAGGACACACACTGCAATAACCATTGTGTAAGCACTTATTATCTTCCCATCATCACTTAATTGTAGGGATGTTGGGCATGTTTCCTTACACCTGCTGTCCCTGTTCACCTAACAGTTAGGAGGTACCTAGGTGTTAGCTGACCAGTGTGAGTGGCATCCTGGGGAGTGGCAGTATGCCTTAGATGGGCTGGGCTTTAAAAAAGAAAAAAAGGTGCAGACAATCTGCATCAACTATGCACCACTTCGAAGCATATCTAAAACCACCACTTCCTTCAAGACCATCAGAGATTCATGCTCATTCTCTGTGGCACCTCTGGCTCACTAGCACTCCTCCTGAGTGCTATGGTTAATATCCAGAAATGAAGCATCAAAATGTGGTGGACACTTGTCAATTAAAGGAGGAAACACATGCATGGAGGCAAACACAGTGCAGAAAGAGACTGCATATGTATATTAATTTCCATTTGAGACCATCTTCAACATTAGACCTCCGACGGATATCAAAACATACAGTCCCTTTCTACTCTGTGTCTGTCTCCACGTGGATTGCCTCAACTCATTTAAAGGTGAATTTGGGTGATAAGATGATTCAAAACCAACAGATGAACACAAAGGTAAGTGGCACTCCCAGAAAGCAACAGTAGGAGGCAGGAGTGGTGGTGGGGGAAGGAGGGGCTATGCCTCTCCAAACACTTCAGCTTAGGCCCATCATAGCTCAGAGGGGAAAAATTCCAGAGGAGACTACTAAGATTTTTCAAATAACTAGATGTTTCCACACTTATCAAGCGTAGTATCAAGGATTTTTTTCAAGCACAAATAAATTGCACATAGGAGAATGAAACTTAGGTCCGCCTGGTCCAAGTCGGACCAAAACATCATTAATTTCTTTCTCCTATGTGTATGTTATTTGTGTACTTTGCAAGTCATAGCACTGTACTATTTTATTCTTTTTCAAGCACTATGCAAGTGAATGCACTTTTTTCAAGTGCATTTAGACAAAACTGCATTATGTAATGTTACTTTATAAGAGGGTTTACTGTAGCCCAAAAAACTAATTAAAAAGTAATACTGTACATAAAAACTATATAAAGAAATATCACATTATATTTCTTGAAATAATCCAATTATCATATTTCCAAAACATATAATCTTTAACAATGTCTTTGATAATAGATATAACCCAAAGTAGGAATACAAATAGGCAAGAAAATTGTTTACAGTGGATTCATGACATATCAGTAGGAAGGACATAGTATTTTCCAGCATATAAGGTGCACTTTTCCCAAAATTGTCTTGGAAAATTCCCTGTACCTTATATACTCAAGGTCAGGGTCAAGAGTAGGCTTTGGGTTATGCTTTAGCAGTCATTTACTAATGTTACTTTACAACTGCTTAGAAACATTGTCTTATACGTCTTATGTACTTGTGCGCCTTATATGCTGGAAAATAACGTGATCACTTCTAAGAAATTGGTGTACAATAAATTTATGACATTTCAGTAAGACAATTACTTCTAAATCACTACTTGTAAATGGTAAGATTTGTCTTTTATTCTGGATACAAAACCTGGAGAATATTTTTCTAAATGCTTCTCACTGTCTGGCACGAGCTAATGCATATTTTTCCCAAGACAGCAAAACTTCAATGTAATGTAGTACATAGGACCGCCGTATCCGTGGGTCTGGTTTCTACAGTGTCAGTTAACCATGGTTTACCGTACCCAAAAATAACCCTTAATTTTGCTTAATGAAGCCAAAGTGCGTAAGTAGTGATGGTGGCACTTCTTCAAAGGCTAAGAAAGGCCGTGAAGTGCTTCCCATCAGTGAAAAAGTGATAATTCTCCACTTATTGTGTGTAATTTAACAATTAAACTTCATCATAAGTATGAATGTAAACGAAAAACAATACATATATGTAGGGTTTGCTATTATCCACGGTTTTGGGTATCCAAGGTAAGTATTGGAAAGTATCCCCCACGGATATGGGGATTCTACTGTACTTATATGGGAGAATTATCTGAGCATCTGATAAATAATAATAATAACTTTAGTTTTTTTCTGCAGTATACAGATAATGTAGTTTACATGTAATAAAATACTGTTAGGTACAAAAGAAAGCCATTAGTATGTGGTGCATTTTGGGCAGACTAATCTGAATAATGTTAAAATATAGCAGAAAAAAAAGCACGTAAGTAAACGAACCACAGAATGGGGCTTGAATCCACAGCAAGTGAGTTCTGAAACTCTAGGCCAGTGTTGGCCTAGTGGTTAAAGCACTAGCCAAGAGTTTTACGATTCACCTGCCATGGGTTTTAACCCCACCTGCTCCTTGGTTTATGTGAAATCATGTTATGATTTTGTGAACTCTGAAGTGCTCCAGTGAATACCTATGATAGTACTGCATTCACAGTTTATAAATACTATCCTGTATGCACAGTTTACAAATATACTGCACACACAGTTTACAAATATAATGTAATAAACATTGAAAATAAAGGATTTTGAATAATTTACTCACTGGATTCTGACCAATATTTTAAAATTATGTTAATCTGAGGTTTTGCTGTATCAAGAATTTCCATGCAGCTCAGCCAGGAGCTGTGATTTGACCCAAGCAACCACATATAGGCGAGTACATGCCTAAGACTGGTTCTGAGGTTTTTCTAAGCTCACAGCCTAGAATAAAACCAAAATTTCCTTAACTGCCTTGTGAATCTGGCTGTTGCAGAACTGCAGGCCACAGCCATCATAACCTGGATGATCAGGTATCTGCAGCAAGCAGAGGTCCGGTTTCCTACTGGCAATGTCTATTGTGGCTTGTCTACTGTGGCTTGTCTACTGTGGCTTGTCTACTGTGGCTTGTCTACTGTGGGTTTTCATTGTTCTCACTCATGACAAAGTTAAAGCTGTGGATGGAACCTCATGAGCTTACTTCACCTAATGACTTTTTTGGAAAAACTCACCAAATATACCAGTCAAAGTAGGTACCAGACATAGCAGGTACCAGCCATAGCAAGCACTAGCCAGAGCACGTACCAGTCACAGCAGGCACCAACCACAGCAGGCACCAGCCACAGCAGGCACCATCCACAGCAGGCACCAGCCACAGCGGGCACCAGCCACAGTCGGCACCAGCCACAGCGGGCACCAGCCACAGCGGGCACCAGCCACAGTGAGCACCAGCCACAGCGGGCACCAGCCACAGTGGGCACCAGCCACAGCGGGCACCAGCCACAGCGGGCACCAACCACAGCAGGCACCAGCCACAGCAGGCACCAGCCACAGCAGGCACCAACCACAGCAGGCACCAGCCACAGCAGGCACCAGCCACAGCAGGCACCAACCACAGCAGGCACCAGCCACAGCAGGCACCAACCACAGCAGGCACCAACCACAGCAGGCACCAGCCACAGCGGGCACCAGCCACAGTCGGCACCAGCCACAGCAGGCACCAACCACAGCAGGCACCAGCCACAGCAGGCACCAACCACAGCAGGCACCAACCACAGCAGGCACCAGCCACAGCAGGCACCAGCCACAGCGGGCACCAGCCACAGTCGGCACCAGCCACAGCAGGCACCAACCACAGCAGGCACCAACCACAGCAGGCACCAGCCACAGCAGGCACCAGCCACAGCGGGCACCAGCCACAGTCGGCACCAGCCACAGCAGGCACCAATCACGTAGCAGTAAGCCTAAACATCAGAACATAACGCTGATAACAAATACATTCACTTTATTGCTATCACTACAATGATCATTCTAAGATAGTAACAGTATAAACATTGAAGTGTAAAGACATGATAGCCCAAGTTCAAGGTTCTTTGCAACTGTAAACAATGAAGCCTTATCAAGGTTCTTTTGCAAATGTAAACAATGAAGTTTTATCAAGGTTCTTTGGAACTTTAAACAATGAAGTTTTATCAAGGTTCTTTGGAACTTTAAACAATGAAGTTTTATCAAGGTTCTTTGGGATTGTAAACAATGAACTTTTATCCAAGTTTTTTGGGACTGTAAACAATTAAGTTTTATCAAGGTTCTTTGGGACTGAATAAGGAACTTTTACCAAGTTGTTTGAGGCTGTGAAAAATAAAAGTTTTATCAAGTTGTTTGGGACTGTAGCCATTAAAGTTTTATCACCAAGACAACTAAAGACTGCAACCATCATACTAACCCAACTGTACTCGAGTAACTTTCACCCCCAAAACTGATCCTAATCCTTGAACTGCACTACTGTACTGTATTTATAAAAGTTAAAATTAAAATTCATATATATTTTGACAGGAATCCTTCTTTCCCAAAATGCTATTTACACTTAAAAGAAGAGAGGATACCAAGACTTTAAAATCTTGATGTACATTCCTGAGGGCAGCTCTTTTAGTCAAGCAGCAATATTTTTGAAAATAAAGGACACATGTTGAACAATAAGCTTTTGTCAGGACGTTTCACTCTGTGTAGAGCTCCATCAAGTCACAACAAAGCTCTACGCTGAGCAAAACATTGTCCCCCAAAGAGCTTTTCCGCAACATGTATCTTTCTTCACTATGTCACTTGGCTTCAGTAATATGTTTTTACAAAATTTAGAAAGTGGGTTTTACTTACGCATGAAATAAATCATCAAGAACACAGACTACTTAAGGCAGTTGTTACAGACCCGTACAGGGTGGTCCCAACCTCGTTCCTTGACTGGCCTAAGGTTTGGCGAACATTTGTCACAGACGCCTTGACCACAAGCTCGACAATGATGCAAAGTTAGTCTAGGTCCAAATTCTTTCTCACACACTATACAAGTTGTAATAATTTCATCGGGCGTCCAATACGATGGTCGTGCACTGTCCTTTAAAAATTCTGAAAAGTTGAAAACAATCAAAATAAATGTTTAACTTCTGCATTTTTCAAGTGACTGTAAAACGAAAGCCTGTAATTGTTTTACATGATGGTAGGATTGCTGGTGTCTTTTGTCTGTCTCATAAATATGCAAGCTTACAGGTACGTCTTGCTACTTCTACTTACACTTAGGTCACACTACACATACGTGTACAAGCATATATACACACACACACCCCTCCGGGTTTTCTGCTATTTTCTTTCTAGTTCTTGTTCTTGTTTATTTCCTCTTATCTCCATGGGGAAGTGGAACAGAATTCTTCCTCCGTAAGCCATGCGTGTTGTAAGAGGCGACTAAAATGCCGGGAGCAAGGGGCTAGTAACCCCTTCTCCTGTATATATTACTAAATGTACAAGGAGAAACTTTTGTTTCTCCTTTTGGGCCACCCCGCCTCAGTGGGATATGGCCGGTGTGTTGAAAGAAAGTGTTCTGCATTTTTTTAACACACCAGCTGAATCCCACCGAGGCAGGGTAACCTGAAAAGAAATGCAAAAGTTTTCCTTTTTAAATTTAGTAAATTATACAGAAGGGGAGTCTAGCCTCCCTGCTTCCTGCATTTTAGTCGCCTCTTATGACATGCATGGCTTACAGAAGAATAATTCTTTCCCACTTCCCCATGGAGAATGTCAGCATATGCATTTGTGACAGTGTGTAAATAGTTGTAAAGAAATAAGAAATTGATGTAAAGTCAGAGTTTAAGTAAATATGGTTCTTCCTGCTAGAAACTGATTATGGTACATGTCCTGGCCTATACAAAATGAAAATTCACTCTCCAATTACTTTCTTCTAGAAATTTTACAAGAAAGCTTGTCAATGAGACAGGATTATAATTTAGAAGTTCTTCCTTCTCACCCAAAGAAGAAGAAACACTTTCATCATCATTCACTCCATCACTGTCTATTGGGATGCTATTTTCTGAAAGTATGTAGGTAATAAGTCATGGAATAAAAGGCATCAGAGAGTATGACCTAGAGTCAGGGAGGTGGAGGTGGCCTTCCTTTCCTTGGATCAAACCTGATTACCTCCCAGTTCCAAGCCGTTATCACACTTTTCGTCAAAAGTGTGCTACAATTGCATTTTACGGGAAAAATGAAGCCAAGTCATATTTCAGGCAGTAAATCTTTACAGTTTTTCCAATGATTTATATTCATATTTTAGCTAAAATTTGAAGTGTATGAGAAAATACTTGTGAATTTGGCAAATATAATGCTTCTCCAGTCCCCATAATATAAAAAGAATAAGATGGTCAAGTCTTGACCTGATGTGCTGTTGGAGTGTGAACAAGGTAACATTTATGAAAGGATTCAGGGAAATCAGTTAGCCAGACTTGAGTCCTGGAGGTGGGAAGCATGGTGCCTGCACTCTGAAGGATGGGTGGAGATATGTTGCAGTTTTTTAACTATATTATCTGCATGCCTCTAGCATGACTGTGATGGAGTGAGTGATGATCAAAGTATTTCTTCTTTTTCAGGTCACCCTACCTCGGTGGGAAACAGCGAATATGTTAAAAAAAAATAAGATGGTGGAAATTCCGACACGTTTCCTTACACCTGTTGTCCTGTTCACCTAGCAGCAAATAGGTACCTGGGTGTTAGTCGACTGGTGTGGGTCGCATCCTGGGGGACAAGATTAAGGACCCCAATGGAAATAAGTTAGACAGTCCTCGATGACGCACTGACTTTCTTGGGTTATCCTGGGTGGCTAACCCTCCGGGGTTAAAAATCCGAACGAAATCTATTCTATTCTATTCTATTCATTGAGAAGACACATGTTCTAAAATAAGGTATCATTGTGACAATGTAACACTCTGTTGAGTGATATATTTATAGATATAATAATAAAGCTATACACAGAGTGAAACACAGTACAGAGCTCTACTCCACACTTGTTACCAATATTCCAAGTAGATCAAGATGGTATGAATTATGTAGTACCACACAAGATGGTGAAGAATGTTAATGTGGAAAAATGCATTAAATACATTTCTTACCTATTGGATATTTTGCCACAGACGCCAAGGTTCCGGATATGACTTCACTAACCTGTCGAACAATCACCGTTTGCTCGTCGGTACTGCAATCGTAATCTGAAGAGTGAAGTTGAGTAAATATTGTAAAACAACATTCACAGAGCAACCTCAGTTAACATAAACACCAGAAGGTTTCTACCCTTTAAATGAATTAAAAACACACAAGGTTCCTACCCTTTAGATCAATTAAAAACAAACAGGTTCCTAACCTTTAAATGAATTAAACACACACAAGGTTCCTAACCTTTAAATGAATTAAAAACAAAGTTCCTAACCTTTAAATGAATTAAAAAACAAAGTTCCTAACCTTTAAATGAATTAAAAACAAAGTTCCTAACCTTTAAATGAATTAAAAACAAAGTTCCTAACCTTTAAATGAATTAAAAACAAAGTTCCTAACCTTTAAATGAATTAAAAACAAAGTTCCTAACCTTTAAATGAATTAAAAACAAAGTTCCTAACCTTTAAATGAATTAAAAACAAAGTTCCTAACCTTTAAATGAATTAAAAACAAAGTTCCTAACCTTTAAATGAATTAAAAACAAAGTTCCTAACCTTTAAATGAATTAAAAACAAAGTTCCTAACCTTTAAATGAATTAAAAACAAAGTTCCTAACCTTTAAATGAATTAAAAACAAAGTTCCTAACCTTTAAATGAATTAAAAACAAAGTTCCTAACCTTTAAATGAATTAAACACACACAAGGTTCCTAACCTTTAAATGAATTAAAAACAAACAAGATTCCTAACCTTTAAATGAATTAAAATTCTGTTTTTCATCTTAAAAGTTTTTGTGTGGAAAATATAACTGAGTATATCTGTCTCTGATATGTACTCATTACTGTATTCATGAAGAAGAGCTAAACCCACAGGGATTATACAGTATATGGGAGGTAATCAGGTTTAATCCAAGGAAGTGGAGAGTAGCTACAATTCCTCAGATCAAGAGCTTTTTACACCAAAGTCTGGCACCCTCTTGAAGAGACCTGGAATTGCATATTTTACTTTCACACATATTCTGGTTAGCAGGACTTGAGTCCTGGAGGTGGTAAGCACAGTGCCTGCACTCTGAAGGAGAGGGTGTTGTTATGTTGCAGTTTTTTAACTGTAGTACAGTGGACCCCCGGTTAACGATATTTTTTCACTCCATAAGTATGTTCAGGTGCCAGTACTGACCGAATTTATTCCCATAAGGAATATTGTGAAGTAGATTAGTCCATTTCAGACCCCCAAACATACACGTACAAACGCACTTACATAAATACACTTACATAATTGGTCGCATTGGGAGGTGATCGTTATGCGGGGGTCCACTGTATAGGCATGCCTCTGGCAAGATAGTGATGGAATAAATGATGATGAAAGTGTTTTTTTTTTTTTTTGTCACCCTGCCTTTGTGGGAAACGGCCGACGTGTTAATAAAAAAAAATGCTCAGTATGTCTGGCAGTACAGGTGTCATTCCAACATACATAAATATGAAGACATAATGTGAAGGACATGTTGTAAGGAAAACCTTTGCTCCGGATTAAGTTTGACCCTGAAAAAGGAGAACTGATGAGGAATGAGGAGTTAGGAAGGGTAGATGTGTATATTAAGTGTTTATATTGCCAAGATGAAGGGGCTGGCTAGGATTTAGGAAGGGTAGATGTGTATATTAAGGGTTTATATTACCAAGATGAAGGGGCTGGCTAGGAGTTAGGAAGGGTAGATGTGTATATTAAGTGTTTATATTGCCAAGATGAAGGGGCTGGCTAGGATTTAGGAAGGGTAGATGTGTATATTAAGGGTTTATATTACCAAGATGAAGGGGCTGGCTAGGAGTTAGGAAGGGTAGATGTGTATATTAAGTGTTTATATTGCCAAGATGAAGGGGCTGGCTAGGATTTAGGAAGGGTAGATGTGTATATTAAGGGTTTATATTACCAAGATGAAGGGGCTGGCTAGGAGTTAGGAAGGGTAGATGTGTATATTAAGTGTTTATATTGCTAAGATGAAGGGGCTGGCTAGGATTTAGGAAGGGTAGATGTGTATATTAAGTGTTTATATTACCAAGATGAAGGGGCTGGCTAGGATTTAGGAAGGGTAGATGTGTATATTAAGTGTTTATATTACCAAGATGAAGGGGCTGGCTAAGATTTAGGAAGGATAGATGTGTATATTAAGTGTTTATATTGCTAAGATGAAGGGGCTGGCTAGGAGTTAGGAAGGGGAGATGTGTATATTAAGGGTTTATATTACCAAGATGAAGGGGCTAGTAATCCCTTCTGTATAAATTACTAAACAGAAAAAAAACAACTGTTTCTTCTTTTGGGTCACCCTGCCCTAGTGGGAGACAGCCATTATATTAAAAAAAAAAAATACAAGGACAGCTATTGGATGAGTATTTGTGAGTGTGTTTCCTTATTTATTATATTTTGGGTCATGCTCCATCAGTAGGAGACAGTCATTTTGTTAAAAACAATAAAACTGCCAAAACAACTATTGGATGAATGATGGTGAGTGCTTTTCTATTTTTTGGGGGTGACGACCGTTGTGTTAAATAGCCATTTTTTTTTTTTTTTTTTTTTCAACAAGTCGGCCGTCTCCCACCGAGGCAGGGTGACCCAAAAAAAAGAAAGAAAATCCCCAAAAAGAAAATACTTTCATCATCATTCAACACTTTCACCACACTCACACATTATCACTGCTTTTGCAGAGGTGCTCAGAATACAACAGTTTAGAAGCATATACGTATAGAGATACACAACATATCCCTCCAAACTGCCAATATCCCAAACCCCTCCTTTAAAGTGCAGGCATTGTACTTCCCATTTCCAGGACTCAAGTCCGACTATATGAAAAAAAACCGGTTTCCCTGAATCCCTTCACTAAATATTACCCTGCTCACACTCCAACAGATCGTCAGGTCCCAAGTATCATTCGTCTCCATTCACTCCTATCTAACACGCTCATGCATGCTTGCTGGAAGTCCAAGCCCCTAACCCACAAAACCTCCTTTACCCCCTCTTTCCAACCCTTTCGAGGACGACCCCTACCCCTCTTTCCTTCCCCTATAGATTTATATGCTTTCCATGTAATTCTACTTTGATCCATTCTCTCTAAATGACCAAACCACCTCAACAACCCCTCTTCTGCCCTCTGACTAATGCTTTTATTAACTCCACACCTTCTCCTAATTTCCACACTCCGAATTTTCTGCATAATATTTACACCACATATTGCCCTTAGACAGGACATCTCCACTGCCTCCAACCGTCTCCTCGCTGCTGCATTTACCACCCAAGCTTCACATCCATATAAGAGTGTTGGTACTACTATACTTTCATACATTCCCTTCTTTGCCTCCATAGATAACGTTTTTTGACTCCACATATACCTCAACGCACCACTCACCTTTTTTCCCTCATCAATTCTATGATTAACCTCATCCTTCATAAATCCATCCGCCGACACGTCAACTCCCAAGTATCTGAAAACATTCACTTCTTCCATACTCCTCCTCCCCAATTTGATATCCAATTTTTCTTTATCTAAATCATTTGATACCCTCATCACCTTACTCTTTTCTATGTTGACTTTCAACTTTCTACCTTTACACACATTCTCAAACTCATCCACTAACCTTTGTAATTTTTCTTTAGAATCTCCCATAAGCACAGTATCATCAGCAAAAAGTAACTGTGTCAATTCCCATTTTGAATTTGATTCCCCATAATTTAATCCCACCCCTCTCCCAAACACCCTAGCATTTACTTCTTTTACAACCCCATCTATAAATATATTAAACAACCATGGTGACATTACACATCCCTGTCTAAGACCTACTTTTACCGGGAAGTATTCTCCCTCTCTTCTACACACCCTAACCTGAGCCTCACTATCCTCATAAAAGCTCTTTACAGCATTTAGTAACTTACCACCTATTCCATATACTTGCAACATCTGCCACATTGCTCCTCTATCCACTCTATCATATGCCTTTTCTAAATCCATAAATGCAATAAAAACTTCCCTACCTTTATCTAAATACTGTTCACAAAATATGTTTCAATGTAAACACTTGATCTACACATCCGCTACCCAGTCTGAAACCTCCTTGCTCATCCGCAATCCTACATTCTGTCTTACCTCTAATTCTTTCAATTATAACCCTACCGTACACTTTTCCTGGTATACTCAGTAAACTTATTCCTCTATAATTTTTACAATCTCTTTTGTCCCCTTTCCCTTTATATAAAGGGACTATACATGCTCTCCGCCAATCCCTAGGTACCTTCCCCTCTTTCATACATTTATTAAACAAAAGTACCAACCACTCCAACACTATATCCCCCCCTGCTTTTAACATTTCTGTCATGATCCCATCAGTTCCAGCTGCTTTACCCCCTTTCATTTTACGTAATGCCTCACGTACCTCCACCACACTTACATTCTGCTCTTCTTCACTCCTAAAAGATGGTATACCTCCCTGACCAGTGCATGAAATAAATAGCCATATTAACCCATAAATGGTCCAAGCAGATCTACGTTCACATGCGTAGTGCTCCAAAAGTAGATGTACGTTTTTTACATATTTTCAAATATAACAAAAAAAAAAGTAGATCAAAGTTTTTTTACACGTTTTCAAATGTACAAAAAAAAAAAAAAAAGATCTACTTTTTTTACATACTTTCAAATTGTAGATGAATGGTTCAAAGAACCGACACGTTAAATTAGACACATGTGCAACTCTTGGGTATCTTTATTGAGGAAACGTTTCACCACACAGTGGCTTCATCAGTCCATACGTAGGAGAAACTTGAAGAACAGGAGAAGAATGAGGTAATCAGTCCCTTAACCTTGAGTCGATGTGTTCAGTCCATCAATCTTGAATTCAAGATTGATGGACTGACCACATTGACTCAAGGTTGAGGGACTGATTACCTCATTCTCCTCCTGTTCTTCAAGTTTATCCTTCGTATGGACTGATGAAGCCACTGTGTGGTGAAACGTTTCCTCAATAAAGATACCCAAGAGTTGCACATGTGTCTAATTTAACATACTTTCAAATGTTGAAAAAATGTATAAATACGTTTGGACCGTTTACGGGTTAAATTATCCTGCTCTTACTAACCTTCACTGCCTACACTGTGGTTAGTTCTGGCTTTAAAACAATTTTTGCAGACTCTGACCGGCTCCTCGCCCCATCCCAGTTCAGGCACGGCCATTTTAACATCAGAACAGCCGTCGCAGAATCCTTCACCGCACTTGCGACAGTGATGGATGGTGTCGAGAGGCTCCTGGCACATCTTGCAATGCTGTAGTGCAAGAACATTAGCTATGTTGCAAATTAACTTGCATATTTTATGTCATGATTTGGATAGTCATTTGAATTGTGATGTCCATGCACTTCTGTCAAGCTAGCTATTGAATAAATGATGGTGAATGTGTTACAGGAAAGAGTAAGGTTATGAGGATAACAAAAAGATTAGGTGATGAAAGATTGAATATCAGATTGGAGGGAGAGAGTATGGAGGAGGTGAACGTATTCAGATATTTGGGAGTGGACGTGTCAGCGGATGGGTCTATGAAAGATGAGGTGAATCATAGAATTGATGAGGGAAAAAGAGTGAGTGGTGCACTTAGGAGTCTGTGGAGACAAAGAACTTTGTCCTTGGAGGCAAAGAGGGGAATGTATGAGAGTATAGTTTTACCAACGCTCTTATATGGGTGTGAAGCGTGGGTGATGAATGTTGCAGCGAGGAGAAGGCTGGAGGCAGTGGAGATGTCATGTCTGAGGGCAATGTGTGGTGTGAATATAATGCAGAGAATTCGTAGTTTGGAAGTTAGGAGGAGGTGCGGATTACCAAAACTGTTGTCCAGAGGGCTGAGGAAGGGTTGTTGAGGTGGTTCGGACATGTAGAGAGAATGGAGCGAAACAGAATGACTTCAAGAGTGTATCAGTCTGTAGTGGAAGGAAGGCGGGTAGGGGTCGGCCAAGGAAGGGTTGGAGGGAGGGGGTAAAGGAGGTTTTGTGTGCGAGGGGCTTGGACTTCCAGCAGGCATGCTTGAGCGTGTTTGATAGGAGTGAATGGAGACAAATGGTTTTTAATACTTGACGTGCTGTTGGAGTGTGAGCAAAGTAACATTTATGAAGGGATTCAGGGAAACCGGCAGGCCGGACTTGAGTCCTGGAGATGGGAAGTACAGTGCCTGCACTCTGAAGGAGGGGTGTTAATGTTGCAGTTTAAAAACTGTAGTGTAAAGCACCCTTCTGGCAAGACAGTGATGGAGTGAATGATGGTGAAAGTTTTTCTTTTTCGGGCCACCCTGCCTTGGGGGGAATTTTTTTTTTTTTGGGGGTTGTTTTTTTTGGTTTTTTTTTGGGGGGGCCCCTTTTTTTGTTTTTCCTAAAAGAAATTTTTTTTTTTTTTTTTATTTTTTTTGTTTTTTTTTGAAAAAGAAAAAATCATGTTTTTTTTTAAATTTTTGTTTTTTTTCGGTTAATGTTAAAATTTTAAAAACTTTTTTTTTTTTTTGTTCCCAAAATTTGTTTTTTTTTTTTTTAAAAATTTAAAACCCCTTTTGGCTTTGCTGTCCCTTTTCGGGGGCCTTTGGGAATCATGTTTTAATGTTTAAAAAAAAATCTCGGGGGGGAAAAGTTCTTTGTGTTGGCGAAGGGGTTTGGGGGAAGGGGTATTTTTTTTCTTGTTTTTTTTAAAAAAAATTTGTTTTTTTGGGGGGGTTTTTTTTTTGGGGGGGGGTTAAAAAAAAAAAATTTAAAATTCTTTTTGGGTGTGGTAAAACCCCCGGGGGGTTTCCGGGTTTTTGGGTTTTTGATTTTTCTAAAAAACCCTTTTTTTTTTTTTTTTTTTCCCCTAATTTTTTTAATTTGTTTCCCCTTGGGGTTTTTTGGGGGAAAAATTTTTTTGGTAAAATGGCTAAAAAAAAATTTTGTAATTTTGGGCGGATGTGTTGAAATTTGGCGGGAAAATTCAATTTTGGGTTTTTTGGTGGGGTATTCTGGGGAACCCAAAAAAAGGGTGTGTTGTTTTTGTTTGTTTTTAAAAATTTTGGACTATTTATGTTTTTTGTTTTTTTTTTATTTGATTTTAATGTAAAAAAATTTTCCCTTTGGAAAAATTTTTTGGGTTTTTTTGGGGGGGTTTGGTTTGAAAAGGGGGTTTTTTGTGGGGGGGTTGGGAGGATGAAAAAAGATGTTTTAGAAAAAAAAAATTTTTTTAAAAAAATATTTTTTTTTTTTAGGAAATAAAAATTTTTTTTTTCCGGGTGGTTGGGGTTTGGCCCCCCCTGGGGGCCCGGGCATTTTTTTTTTATTTTTTTTTTAAATTTTTTATTTTTTTAAATTTTTTTAAAATTAATTATTTAATTTTTTTTTTTTTAAATTTTTTTTTTTTTTTTTTTTAAAATTTTTTTTTTTTTTTAATTTTTTTTTTTTTTTTTTAAAATTTAATTTTTTTTTTTTTTTATTTTTAAAATTTTTTATTTTTTAAATTTTTTTTTTTAAAATTTTTTAATTTTTTTTGATGGGGGTTGTGGTTTAGGGTGTTTGGGGGGGGGGTTAAAATTTGGGAAAATCAAATTAAAAGGGGAAAAATTTTTTTGTGAATTGTTTAGGGGAGATCCAAAAAAAAGATGCAAAGGGTTTGTGGATGATTTGGGAGTGTGTGTTAAAAGTAGAAAGTGAACTAAAAAATAAGTGATGAGGGTATCAAATTACTTTTAAAAAAAATTGGATATCAAATTGGGGAGGAGGAGTATGGAAAAGTGAATGTTTTCAGATACTTGGGGAGTTGACGTGTCGGCATGGATTTTTGAAGGATGAGGGTTTTAAACAAGAATTGAAGGGAAAAAAAAGGGGAGTGGTGCTTTAGGTATATTGGAGTCAAAAAAAATTATCTATGGAGAAAAAAGGGAATGTATGAAAGTATAGTATACCAAAACTTTAAAAATGGATGTGAAGCTTGGGTGGTAAATGCAGAGCGAGGGGGCGGTTGGAGGCGTGGAGATTCCCGTCTAAGGGCAACGTGTGGTGTAAAAAATTTTTGCAGAAAAAATTTGGAGTGTGGAATTAGGAGAAGGTGTGGAGTTAATAAAAAACATTTGTCAGAGGGCAGAAGAGGGGGGTTTTTGAGGTGGTTTGGTCATTTAGAGAAATGGGCAAAGTAGAATGACATGGAAAGCATAATAAATCTAAAGGGAAGGAAAAAGGGGGGAGGGGTCGTCTTCGAAAGGGTTGGAAAGAGGGGGTAAAGGGGTTTTGTGGGCGAGGGGGTTGGACTTTTTTAGCAAAAAACGTGCTGAGCGTGCTAGTAGGGTGAATGGAACGAAAGAACTTTGGGGCCTGACGACTGTTGGAGTGTGGCAGGGTAATATTTTGTGAAAAAGGGGTTCAGGGAAACCGGTTATTTTCAATTTTGTCGGACTTATCCTGGAAAAGGGAATACAAAGCCTGCACTTTAAAGGAGGGGTTTGGGTATTGGCAGTTTGGGGGATATGTTGTGTACTTTATACGTATATGCTTCTAACTGTTTATTCTGAGCACCTCTGCAAAGGTTAATGTGTGTGGGGGTGAAAGGTGAATGATGATGAAAGTATTTTTTTTCGGGGGTTTTCTTTCTTTTTTGGGGCACCCAAACCTCGGTGGGAGCGACCGACTTGTTTTAAAAAAAAAAAAAAAAATTTTATATATATATATAAAAGGGGGGGTCAAAAAATTACACAAGCTTTTTTTTTTTTTTTTCACAAATTAATTTTAAGGCTATGACTAATTCTACCACCCTTTCAAAACCCAGCCCTATCTGAGGTATATCACCATCCCCCAGGATGCCACTCACACCAGTCAGCTAATACCCGGGTACCTACTTACTGCTAGGTGAACAGGGACAGCAGGTGTAAGGAAACATTCCCAACATTTCCTACCCATACCGGGGATCAAACCCTGGACACACTTTGTATGAGCCGAGTGCATTATCAACGTTATACAATACCAATAAGTTGATGAATTACACACATGTTCAACACCTGGCTATCATTGTTTCAAAGACACTTCACCAACCAGTGACTTTTTTCATTTAAATACAGAGATTATGTGAAAGACAGTGGTAAATATGGTAATCAGTCTCTCAGCCTTGAAGAAGGTGGGAAGTATCTTAATCTGGATAAATCATTAATCTTTATGATAAAGATAGACAAGTGTTGCATATGTGTATAATTTATGGAAGATTTCCTCCTACTTAATATGCATATGTTGAACTATGGAATGAGTGGCTTTTGAACCTACGGAAAGAGAGTCCTAAAACTCCACCCAATCTGTGGGTTGTCTGCAATCTTGTTATTACAATTTCATGAGGCCTGGTTATGGACTGGGCCGTGGGGGCGCTGACCTCCGAAACCCCCTCCAAGTATACTCCAGGTATGTTGAAATGGGTTCAACACCACATAAGACAACCTACATAAGAGCACACACCTGTCTGCCAGCATGTGCTGCTCCACCAACGACAGTGCCTGACCATACATGCTGGTACTCTTCTTTTACTTCGCACCTGTCCGGAGACTCGTTACCGTACCAGTACTGACGGCTCCGGTAGATAATGCCGCACTTCTCGCACTCCAGCACGTACCTATCATTGAACATGCCAGTTATTAACCAATAATTATTTATTTGAAACTGACTGAACTTCATGTATTTGGGGAGAAATTATTTGAAGAAAAAGCCTTTTCTTATGTAGCTGCCAGACTGTGAAACAGGTTACCAGTGTCTATAAAGAATAAAAAGGCACAACACTGTGGCTAGAACAATACACAAATAACCCAAATACAGCAGACTGAAACTTATCATGACATTTAGGTCTTTTTTACCACACTAGTGGTACTGTAACTACATAAGCATTTTAACCACACTAGTGATACTGTAACTACATAACCATTTTAACCACATTAGTGGTACTGTAACTACATAAGCATTTTAACCACACTAGTGGTACTGTAACTACATAACCATTTTAACCACACTAGTGGTACTGTAACTACATAACCATTTTAACCACACTAGTGGTACTGTAACTACATAAGCATTTTAACCACACTAGTGGTGCTGTAACTACATAACCATTTTAACCACACTAGTGGTACTGTAACTACATAACCATTTTAACCACACTAGTGGTACTGTAACTACATAACCATTTTAACCACACTAGTGGTACTGTAACTACATAACCATTTTAACCACACTAGTGGTACTGTAACTACATAACCATTTTCACCACACTAGTGGTACTATAACTACATAACCATTTTAACCACACTAGTGGTACTGTAACTACATAACCATTTTCACCACACTAGTGATACTGTAAGTACATAAACTTTTTCACCACTTTAAAGGTGCTGTAGTTAGTCTAGTTATCCCCTACACTAAAAGTTCTGTAAGTAGTTTACCCTCACCACACTTTAGTACATGGGAGCCCTGCATATACAGCACTTCTTTTCAGAGCTCCACCTTTTTGTTGGCTTTCATTTGAGCCATTGTTCATTATGTTCGGTGCTTTTACCGCTTTTTCCGTTGTTTTCGCACAGCAGTTGAGTAAGGCAAGGGCGATCAGGACCATATTTATTTTACTTTTTTTTCTGTTTTTATGCCTAGTTGTATCGAGCACTTAGTATATGATAGTGTAAACACATTATCAGGCATTTTAAACAAATCTGATGGTGAAAAAATGCTCTTTTCCACCTGCTGGCGATTCTCGCTTACTACACGGGGTCGGGAATGTAAGAGCTGTACAAACGGGGCCTTATTGTACTCTTGCTAGGTATTATAGTGTAAAGCTACCAATTAAGACAAAAAAAAAAAAAGAATGTAGTTACCCTGCCCATGCATATTTAGCAAGACCCAGCCATGTGCTGTCCTTAGCCGATGAAGTCTTGGGTATTACAATTCGTCTCTCTCCTTCACTGTCACATTTCCGACACAGGAAAACCTGAAACACACAAGTTCATTAGTAAAAAGCTCACTTTTACATTTTATTTATACCTCACTGATATCATTATAGTGAACCCTCATTTAACACAATGATAGGAAAATCAGGTGGCCGGTAATTAGCAAAAAATAGGTACAGGTCCGCCATCACAAATCCGGCAATCAGTTATTCGATTCCTTCAGGTATTCGGCACTAATTTTGGCTAGCATAATTTCAAATTTCCAGGGTCGCCACACCAACCTGCTGGTACTGTTTGGTGGCGCTACTGCATAAGTCATTCCAATTTCTTTTTCTCCATTTATTGTTTTAACCTGCTTACTTTTAGCCCTAGCCATGGTTCCAATGAAAAAAAGAAATGCTTCTCATTATGTAAAGCACCTACACAGTACATTATCCATTAAAGATAAGGTGGCTTTGAAGCCACTGTCGGTTGCCATGAGCTCAGTCTCACGAAGCAGGAGAATATGCTTTATTATTACGCTAATATCAACACTACAGCTCATTTGCCTATCACAATTGATCTAATATGACATAAGAAACAATATAAATAACATAAAACATGTTAAATACTCCAGAATGAATAATATTCGGCATAACACCGAGCAGTTCAATGGAGGTATGAAGAGGATATGGTATACAAATACCATTCTCCTATCCCTGTCTTGGTGGCTTATATTAGAGAAAACAGAGTGTAACACAGGGCTAACTGTGATACACACTCGTACTGCATCATAAACCTGAAACAAAAAAAGTTATTTTCTCTATATAGATTATCACACCTAGCAGCATATGTGTAGAGAACCTAGGATAACCCAAAAAGAGTCAACGTGGCTTATTTTTAGTACCTGGCTTGGGTTAGCCATATATGATTTTTGGTAAATATTCGATTCCCAGCCAGGGTAGAAACATTAGGCGTGTTTCTTTACACCTGTTGTCTATGGAAATAAATGGTATAAAATACCGACACAATGGAAATATAAACTCATATGCAGTATAATGTGATCCTTTATTGACTATGTTTTGCCCACACAGTGGGCTTTTTCAAGTCACAAACTTGAAAAAGCCCACTGTGTGGGCGAAACGTAGTCAATAAAGGATCACATTATACTGCATATGAGTTTATATTTCCACCTGTTGTCTATGTTTACCCATCAGTAAATGGGTACCTGGGTGTTAGTCGACTAGTGTGGGTGTTATCCTGGGACACTGACCTAATTTTCTTGAAATACTCTGCATAATAAGTGCCTTTGTATACAGTAGTATGTCACTGATGTCAGCTAGGCCTGTATACCTTGTACATGTACGTGTAGTAAATAAAGATATTATTATTATTATTATTATCATTAATTATATTATTTTCTCAGTTGTTTGTTGAGTTATCTTATTCAAACTTGGGCAATGTATGACGGAAAGATACTTCTTCACATACACCAAAAATGAAAGAAATCAGACCATAAATAGCGGAGTTCACTTCTCAGCCATATAGGTAGTAGATTGGCAGACAGCAACCACCCAGGGAGGTACTACCGTCCTGCCAAGTGAGTGTAAAATGAAAGCCTGTAATTGTTTTACATGATGGTAGGATTGCTGGTGTCCATTTTTCTGTCTCATAAATATGCAAGGTTTCAGGTATGTCTTGCTACTTCTGCTTACACTTAGGTCACACTACACATACATGTACAAGCATATATATACACACCCCTCTGGGTTTTCTTCTATTTTCTTTCTAGTTCTTATTCTTGTTTATTTCCTCTTATCTCCATGGGGAAGCGAAATAGAATTCTTCCTCCGTAAGCCATGCGTGTTGTAAGAGGCGACTAAAATGCCGGGAGCAAGGGGCTAGTAAAAACTTCTCCTGTATATATTACTAAATGTAAAAGGAGAAGCTTTCGTTTTTTCTTTTGGGCCACCCCGCCTTGGTGGGATACGGCCAGTGTGTTGAAAGTAAGAAAGAAGACTTCTTAGCCATTAGCGGCCGCTTTGCGGTATATTTTTGTATGGTTGTTATGGTTATATTTTCATTTTTTCGGTCTCATTTGATAGAATGAAAGATATATTACAGAAATAGATATGATTTTGATTGCTTTCATGATGAAAAATACCTTGAAATTGCACTCACAGTAGCGAAAATACCTGTCCACCTGCCAGTCCAATATGTAGTCAAGAATGGCTTGACATTATTTATACAATTATTACAATAATGCAGCAGTTTGCATAACAGTAAATCTTCTATTTTTTTGTGAATAAAAATTCCAAATGAAAAGCAAGAGTAATATAAGAGGGGCCTGTAGCTGTGACTAATGAACAAAGAAAATGTTATTTTAGTGCCAGGAATGTCTGCATTGTTTATTCTGGACCCTATTTTGAAATTGGCATCTGTTGAAATTTGTGTGAAATCGGCCAAATTGCCAATTTCTAACCGCTTTATTGGGTAGTTGAAATAAGTGAATGAACGGTTTCTTGTACTCAGTTGACAGACCAGAAGTAAATAAGTTTATTCAGGTATACACAAACACAGTTACATAGATTATCATACATAGCAGTGTATGTATAGAGAACCTAGGATAACCCAGAAAAGTCAGACAAAGTGACTTATTTCCAGTACCTGGCCTGGGCTTGCCATATATGATTTTTGGTAAATATTTTTTTTCTCGGTTGTTTGTTGGGCTATCTCATTGAAACTTGGGCAATGTATGATGGAAAGATGCTTCTTAACGTACAACAAAAATAAAAAAGACGGACGATAAATAAGGGAGTTCACTTCTCAGCCATTAGCCGACCTCTCTGCAGTATATTTTCGTATGGTTTTTATGGTTGTATTCTCATTTTTTGGACTCATTTGATAGAATGGAAGATATATTACAGAAATAGACATGATTTTGATTGCTTTCATGACGAAAAGTACCTTGAAATTGAGCTCAAAGTAGCGGAAATGTTCGATTTTTGCCGATGTTCAATGAACTGTGTAAGTCAAGTTGGTGAATTTTATTAAGTGTATTCTAACCTAACCACTCTATAATCCAGCAAACTCAGTAATCTGGCACACTACAGGTCCCAATGATGCCGGATTTGTGATGGAGGACCTGTATGTTATTGAGATACAATATGCTGTCGCAGCGACATTTAAACCATCATATCTGCATGCCTCTGGCAAGAAAGTGATAGTGTGAATGATGGTGAAAGTATTTCTTTTTAGGGTCACCCTGCCTTGGTGGGAAACAGTGCTTTAAAAAAAAAAATCACTGGGATGTCTCACCTTGTTTTCAAACTGATGATGGTATTTACACTGGCGTTCAGCTTCGTGATCTTTCGAGCCATTATCATGAGTTGCATGGTTCATGAAGAGACAGCAGCGAGCCTGGCAGGCAGCACAAACACTCGTGCAGGTAAAGTACTCATCTGGAAATGCTGGTTCAGTGCTCTGGATTTGCCCACTGAATTTTTTATTTATAGTCTGTACATGGTTAGAAAATAATTTAATTACTAAATAAAAAGTCACAGTACCATGTGGCTGGAACTATAAGTCACAATACTGTGACTGGAATAATAAAAGTCATAATAGCATGGCTGGAACAATAAGTCACAATACCATGGCTGGAACAGTAAGTCACAAAAGTACAATCCCACCCCCATTGTTCATCAAATGTTGAGTAAATCTAACCCTCCAAACTACAACACCCGGGCCCACTTCCTCAAAACACAGCATCTTCCCATCTCCAAAACTACAACCATCCCAACCCACCTTCAACACACAGGCACTGTACTTCCCATCTCCAGAACTAAACATCCCACCTCCTTCAAACAGAAGAATTCCCCATCTCCAAGAACTACAACTCCTCACCCATCCTTCAGAACACAGGCACTGTACTTCCCATCTCCAGAACTACACTCATCCTACCCATCCTCAGAACCACCCTGTAACTTCCATCCTCAAATTACAATTTCACCATCCTCAGAACACAGGCACTGACTCCCATCCAGAAACTACAGTCATTCTCTCAACCATCTTAACACAGGCACTGTTTTTTCCCATCTCCAGACTACAAATCCTACCATCTTCAACCAGGCACTGTTTCCAATCTCCAGAAACTACAACATCCTCACCAGCCTTAGAAAAATTCAGGCTTCCCCTCTGGAACTCATGTTCAGCTAATCCAGTTCCATTTTTCAATGGAATTGTCCATTCCCGAGAGGTACAAAAAGAAAAACAAATTTTTTTTATTTAGTTATTTTTAAGGGAAGGGGTACTTAAGTCCGTTCCCTACTAGACACCCTACACATTCAAGGCATAGGTTTTAAAAAACACTGAGGCTATAATAAATTCGTACTCTTCGTAAATTTTTAGCTAAATTTCAAGGACAATTTTAGGCCTCGTGGATCGAATCATTGTTTAGCAGTTCATCAATTACCACACTTTCTAACGCTTGTGAGCTGTTTACTTTCCCTATTATTCACCAATATAATGTAAGCTGTTAAAAACCATCAATTTAGGTATGTTTGGATGAATTCTCTGAGCTTCTTATTCTTTTGTTCGTCTCCCTCTGAAACAAAAAACCCATTCCAATTATATCTTTAAAACAAACAATACTTTGTGGAATACAAAAGATTATCAGTGGTATATAACAGTTCCAGGAACTGGACAACAAGAGTAATGACAAGTAAATGTGACAGAATTATCTAGTGAAAAAACTTCGTTACTATCAAGAATTTTTTTGAAAAATCAGTCCACTTCAGTTTAAGTGGCCTCGCATTATAAGTGAGGCAAGTGGTTTTTTTCAAGAGCTGGTTGTGTAATATACCACTGTGGAAAAAAATACTCCAACATTCTGAACAGTTTGATGAGCTGTCTCTGAACTCATAGATTTTGCATTCCTTAAATTTAATAACACTGTAGTCACTGTCCCGTAGATTACCATCCTGCTAAATATACCTCACAGAAACAAAAAATCAATATTAAACTACAACATTAAAACTGCTACGGCCACATTCACCTTTCAATTCTGAAAGGGTCAACGAAGTACTCACTTGTTTAAGAGGGGCAAGAAAATTCCAAATTATGGAAAAATACTTCCTGGTTTTTCAGCTTACAAAAGAATTGTTTGTGTAGAACCAACACGCAAGCGTGTCTGTGGTCAGCGCATTTTTTGCTGCAGCCGATAACTTAAATAGGTTGCTAAGGTTCTGTTTTATTGTGCATGTGTTTAACGTGTACATGCATTTAAATGTGTGCATGCATTTAAACATGAGTGCATATGTTTAACATGTGTTGCTTGCAAGCTGAAAGAGGTGGTAAACTGAACATTATAATTTACTTATTACAGCTACTGTACCTTCTTTGAGAACACTGGTGTGTCTTGTGTCGTGGAATATAAACACAGGAGGACCAAAGACACAGTCACACTCAGCTTTACGTGCCACAGCCTCCAAGTCTGCACGAAAGTACCTGTGATAAAATATTGCATTAAGCTACACCCAACAATTCCTTGGATCAAGAGCCCCTCACCAGCATCAAAGTTTGCTCAAAATGATTTGCATACTAAGGGGCTGTCTCCATGTACAACTAAATGTCACCTACCTCTGTACAAACACTGGTTATGCTGAAATAAAGAATTTTTATCTTCAATAATAATACTAATACGTGTAATCTTTATTTCTACAAATATACGTACAAGGTTCTCCATGGGTAAGTGGAACAGAATTCTTCCTCCGTAAGCTATGCGTGTCGTAAGAGGCGACTAAAATGCCGGGAGCAAGGGGCTAGTAACCCCTTCTCCCGTATAAATTACTAAATTTAAAAGAGAAACTTTCGTTTTTCTTTTTGGGCCACCCTGCCTTGGTGGGATATGGCCGGTGTGTTGAAAGAAAGAAGAATACGTACAAGGTATACAGGCCTAGCTGACATCAATGACATACTACTACAGGTCAGCCATCACTGATCTGGCAATCACTATTCAGGTGCCATCACTACTCCGGCACTAATTTCAGCCAGCGTTTCTGCTGATAGGTCAATTCAGTTGACAAGTGAACTGCTGGAAGGTTCTGAGCAATGCAGTTTTATAAGCTTCTCTCTCCTGTGTGCAGGTTATTTGTGTAAATATAAGTAAGGTGATGAGGGTATCAAATGATTTAGATAAAGAAAAACTGGATATCACATTGGAGAGAAGGAGCATGGAAGAAGTGAATCTTTTCAGATATTTGGGAGTTGATGTGTCAGCAGATGGGTTTATGAAGGATGAGGTTAACCATAGAATTGATGAGGAAAAAAAGGCGAGTGGTGCGTTGAGGTATATGTGGAGACAAAAAAAACGTTATCAATGGAGGCAAAGAAGGGAATGTATGAAAGTATAGTGGTACCAACACTCTTATACGGGTGTGAAGCTTGGTTTGTAAATGCTGCAGTGAGGAAGCGGTTGGAGGCAATGGAGATGTCCTGTCTAAGGGCAATGTGTGCTGTAAATATTATGCAGAGAATTCAAAGTGTGGAAATTAGGAGAAAGTGTGGATTATAAAAGTATTAGTCAGAGGGCTGCAGAGGGGTTGTTGAGGTGGTTCAGTCATTTACAGAGAATGGATCAAAATAGAATGACATGGAGAGCATATAAATTTGTAGAGGAAGGAAGGCGGGGTAAGGGTCGTCCTCGATAAGGTTGGAGGGAGGGGGTAAAGGAGGTTTTGTGGGCGAGGAGCTTGGACTTTCAGCAAGAGTGCACGAGCGTGTTAGATAGGAGTGAACGGAAATGAATGGTTTCTGGGACCTGACGAACTGTTGGAGTGTGAGCAGGGTAATATTTAGTGAAGGGATTCAGGGAAACCAGTTATTTTTATATAGCCGGACTTGAGTTCTGGAAATGGGAAGTGCAATGCCTGCACTTGGGATATTGGCGGTTTGGTGGGATGTGTAATAGGACAGTATATATATAATTGGGGCCCTGATATTGTAATTATTTCAGGTCACTTTTTATACTGTACCTTTATATATGCTTCTAAACTTTTGTATCCAGGGACCCCTGTAAAAACAGTGATTATGTGACTCACGAAATCGTAATGACACGATTGCAAACAATCGTGGGTTTTATCCCCGCCCGTGGTATGGTCAGTGATTATGTGTGAGTGAGGTCTAAGTGTTGAATGATGATGAAAGTCAGCTGTCTCCCACCTTGCCTAGGTGGGAGACAGCCAACTTGTTGAAAAAATAAAAAAAAAGTACAGCCTCTCCTCACTTAGAGACGTACTTATTTACAGATGCCTCGGACTTACAACTCGCTCTCTGACCTTTATGCATACCTAAATAATGCATATTAGAGCTGATTTCCTCTATTCTGTTTATTACAATGTACAGTACATTACTGTATACACATCTAAAAATATACCAGAAATGTTATTAATGGTGCAAAGGAGACATTAAAACAATATAAAACATAGTTGACACAAACCCACTACCATAATAGTATGCTCCTCATATAGCGACAAATTCGTTTACTGACGTGTTCTTAAGAACGGAACTCCATCGTTAAGTGAGGAGAGACTGTATTACTGGAATAAAGACTACAGCATTACCGCATTTACTGGCATATAATGCGCACTTTTTCCCCCACAGAAAGTCTTGGAAAATCAGCCTTATATGCTCAAGGTCAAAGTCAAAGGCAGGCTTTGTGTTACGCTTTAGCAGTTGTTTACTAATGTTATGTTGCAACTGCTTGGAAACATCATCTGATGTTCTATAAGAACGTGCACCTCATATGCCAGAAAATGAAGTAGCACACATACAGGAAAATAAAGATAACTGTATAACAAATCTAATTATGAGTGGAAGGATGATGTTTGTAAAGTAGAAGAAATACAGTGGTCCTCAAAAATCTCGGGTAAAAGTCATCCTTTTCAGAAATGGGCCCGCTTTTTTTCTCATCCAAACATTGGCTCGAAAAATTGGTGGGGTTTCTGCAAAATCTTTCCTTCGTCCGGGATGCGAAAATCCGTCTGAGCGCCTCGGCCCCCCCTTTCCCCGCAGTGTGTTTGCTTTCCAGTGAGCGGGGGTTCCCTCCTTGTTTTACGAAAATTTTTCAAAAATTTTCCATTTTTTTTAGTGCTTGCAAAGTGCTAAAAAAAGCAAACCATGGCTCCAAAGAAAGCTCCAAGTCCCAAAGCCTTTGGAAAAAGAAAGTGAGAAATACGATTAAATTTAAAAAAAACATCACTGAAAATTTATAAAGTGGTTTTCTTTGTGGCCAAACCGGGCCCGCTGAGGGCTGAAAGAGCTTCAGGGGGAACGGACCCAGATGCAGCTCAGTTTTTTGTGCAGAGGGGAGGAAGATAGGGGAGGGAAGGGGGCCTTCTTCAAAAAAATTAAGATTTTTGAAAGTTGGGTAGGATGGAAAGATTTATGGAGAAACATCCCCCCGGAAAAGGATGTTGCAAGCCTTTATCGGAAATTGAAAGTGAAAGGGGTTTTGGGCCCCAATTTTGGGGGTTTTTTTAAAAGAGATGCCAGAAAAAGAACTCTTTAAACACTTTTTTTGTGAACGGGAAATCCAGTGACTTCAAGTGGTTTTTTAGTGGATGAATGCCCAAAGAAGAGAGAAACCCCCGGGGAAAAGCACTTGGTCCCTGAGGTGTTTGACGGAAGGGGTTTCCCCTTTCCCAAAACTTTTAAATTTAATCTTTCTCTCTCCTTCTCCAGTTTTCCATACAAAAGAAGAATCACCAATAAAGATAAGTGTTATTTGGTTTGTTTCATTCATCTTTTCCCCCCTTGTATTGTTTATGAAATTTTCCTATATTTAATGTAAAAAAAATTTTTGTTTTCCCCTTCTGGGTGTCGGAAGGGAATTAATTGTTTTTTCTTTAAATTTTTTTAGGGGGAAAATTGATTCAAAAATGTCTTTTTTGTTTTAAATTGTCGCACTTTCGGGGAAAGGGAATTTTAACGTCGAAAAATGAGGGACCACGTATTGGGAAAAATTTTAATTTTGCTTTGTTACTTACTCAAAACAGGAAAGCTTGCCTCTCGGGGTGATTTTTGGGTCAAACCAACCAAAATTGAAAAAACCCCTTTGATGTAACGGTATCCAGTCTCCCTTCTCTTGCAACCTGCCCTTCAGCCGCTTCCTTCCTGCAAAAACCTGCTGAGCTAAGCTGGAAACCTATTTTTACTGTACCAAATTATTGTACCTAAAATTACTGTCCCACTATTTTTGAAAACCTGAATTTCACTTTTAAATTTTTAAACCCCTTTGGGGGGCCCGACGGGGCCTTTTCGGGAGACTTGTTTAAGGGCACCCAAAATTTAAAAAAAAAAAAATTTTTTTTTTCTTAGGGAAAAAGATAGAAATTTTTTTTTCCCGTTCAAAATGGCACCAAAAGTATGGGGAATTTGATAGAAAATTTACGGAATTATTTTCTCGCAATTTTAGCGGCCCGGGACGTGTTTTTTGCAGCGGCGTTTTTTTGGCCCACTTTGAGCCCTTTTTTTGGGCCCTTTTCCCCAGTGTATAGCAAAAAAAATTTTCTTTAATTTTCATTTAGAACCCCTTTTTTTTCTATGAATGAGTACAAGAAACCACCCATTTACCGATTTCAACTATCCAATAAAGTGGTCAGAATTTAGCAATTTTGCCAATTTCACACAAATTTAAAAAAATGCCAATTTCCGAATATGGTCCAGAATAAACAAGAAAGACATTCCTGGCACAAAAATAACAAGTTCTCTGTTCGTTAGTCACATCCCCAGGCCCCTCTTATATTTCTTTGGGTTTCCACTTCGAATTTTTATTCTTACAAAAAAGTAAGATTTACTGTTATGCAGACTACTGCATTAGTGTAGAAATGGTATAAATAATATCAGCGCACTTGTGAAAGAATATTAGACTCACCAGTTGATGTGTATTGGATGCTTGGCATGATTTGTTTACTTTTGAACTTTGGTAAAAATCAAGCATTTCTGCTACTTTGAGCTCAATTTCAAGGTACTTTTCATTGTAAAACCAGTCAAAATCATCTCAATTTCTGTAATATGTCTTCCATTCTATAAAATGAGACCAAGAAAACTAGAATACAACAATAAATACCATACAAAAATACAGTGCAAAGTCGCTGTTTTAATCCAAAAACACGGTCAAAGTTTTTTTTTCTCATTACGCACTGTGTGCTGCAGGATTTTTTTTATACTGCGCACACTGACCACATAGACCCATTCTTTCATATGTATGCCTACCAGCTTTCTCTCACTAGATTTGAGGGCGCTAGAATTTAGGCGTACTAGTACGTCAAAAACCCTGGGTCATAAGACGCACTAGTACGTCCGAAACCCCCAAAGGGTTAAGGTTATAATCATAACTCATTATGTCTACTATTCTTTCATTTGTTATTATGTCTACTATTCCTTGAACATAAGAACAAATGAAAGAAGCAACACTGCAGCAGGCCTACTGGCCCATGCGAGTCAGGTCCAAGTCACCTCCCGGCTTAATTAAACCAATGACCCACCTAGCCAGGTCAGATCACATCCACTTAAGGAAGGGGCACAGCATAAGACCTATTAGCACAAGTTAGTCAGGTCCAACACACCCACCCACACCTACTTGTGCATTTTTAAAACTACACAAAAACAATCGCAAAAGCACTTGTATTTCACTATTTTTCACTGTGGTCATTTTGCGTATGTTGCTACATGCGATTACTTATGTGTACTTGTACCTAAATAAACTTACTTCTGCAAATATAAAAGACCAAAATCACATTAGACATATATTTGTTTATTCCCCCACAGGGAGTTCATCAACGTACTTTGTGTATGCTCTCGAAGCCTCTGCCAAAAACTTGTACATATCAGTGTTGAGTCTTTCTGAGCGCGTTCGGTAGATAATGACATCAGACACTGCAAGCACCTGTGGAAGAAATGTTCTTTTATAAATTTTTTTTTTATTTTATTAACACACTGGCCGATTCCCACCAAGGCAGGGTGGCCCGGAAAAGAAAAACTTTCACCATCATTCACTCCATCACTGTCTTGCCAGAAGGGTGTTTTACACAACAGTTTTTAAACTGCAACATTAACACCCCTCCTTCAGAGTGCAGGCACTGTACTTCCCATCTCCAGGACTCAAGTCCGGCCTGCCGGTTTCCCTGAACCCCTTCATGAATGTTACTTTGCTCACACTCCAACAGCACGTCAAGTATTAAAAACCATTTGTCTCCATTCACTCCTATCAAACATGCTCACGTATGTCCGCTGGAAGTCCAAGCCCCTCGCACACAAAACCTCCTTTACCCCCTCCCTCCAACTTTTCCTAGGCCGACCCCTACCCCGCCTTCCTTCCGCTACAGACTGATACACTCTTGACGTCATTCTGTTTCGCTTCATTCTCTCTACATGTCCAAACCACCTCAACAACCCTTCCTCAGCCCTCTGGACAACAGTTTTGGCAATCCTGCACCTCCTCCTAACTTCCAAACTATGAATTCTCTGCATTATATTCACACCACACACTGCCCTCAGACATGACATCTCCACTGCCTCTAGCCTTCTCCTCGCTGCAACATTCATCACCCATGCTTCACACCTATATAAGAGTATTGGTAAAACTATACTCTCATACATTCCCCTCTTTGCCTCCAAGGACAAAGTTCTTTGTCTCCACAGACTCCTAAGTGCACCGCTCACCCTTTTCCCCCTCATCAATTCTATGATTCACCTCATTTTTCATAGATCCATCCACTGACACGTTCACTCCCAAATATCTGAATACATTCACCTCCTCTATACTCTCTCCCTCCAATCTGATATCCAATCTTTCATCACCTAATATTTTTGTTTTTCCTCATAACCTTACTCTTTCCTGTATTCACTTTTAATTTTCTTCATTTACATACCCTACCAAATTCATCCACCAACCTCTGCAGCTTCTCTTCGAATCTCCCAAGAGCACAGTCTCTCAGCAAAGAGCAAATGTGCAACTCCCCCTTTTTTT